TTATGGCTTGTGTTCCTTACTTCTTGTTAATATGAATCCTGTTGAGTATCTGGTCATAGTTCACTTTTTTTTCAAATTAAAAAAAAAAATCTCTTGAAGATTGAAATAAAATAGGCATTAAGCAACTCCAGAGTTCTGGGTGTCATCTGTTCTTAGCTGCCTTACCTATCCTAGCCTGATAGGTAGACACTTTCTTTTTTCTTGTTCCTAATATATTTAAATTGTCTTTTATTATCTTTAATGTCCTTTGCTAGCTGCAACTAACTTTCTGCTAAAGTCATTCTGATTTTATCCCTACATGCTCAGGCTTTTCTTTTGTATTCATCTTTAGAAATTTATCCATGTTTCCACTTTTTGTAAGATTCCTTTTTAATGTTCAGTCATTAAAGAATGCTTACTGCAGCCACAGTGGCCTTTTGCTATACTCTCTTTCCTTTTTATTGGGATAGTTTGCTTTTTGCCTTTTAATATTGTCTCCTGAGAAACTGCTAGCTTTCTTCAACTCCTTTCTTCTTTGATTTTCTTCCAACGAGTCTCTTCTGACAAGTTCTGAGCTTGCTAAAAATCTATTCTTGAAGTCCATTATCCTTATTCTATTGCTCTCACTCCTTTCTTTCCTTAGAATCATGAAGCTGATCATTTCATGATCACTATCATCCAAATTATCTTCTACCTTCATAGTCACAACCAATTCTTCCCTATTAGCCAGAACCAAAACCAAACTGGCTGTCCCCAGGTTACAGCCTCACCTTTTGAAACAAGAAGTTATCCCCAACACATCCTAAGAATTTATTGGATCTGCTACTTTTCCAACAGATATCCCGGGACTCACTAAAAAGTAAATAGTTGAAGTAATATTAATGGATAAAATCACCCAGAGAAATGGTTTAAAAGGAAAAAAAGAAGGGGGCACAAAAACCTCAGGGAAAGATGTGATGATGACATAATCAGAAAAATTGGCAGAGAATAAAAGAGACACCAAAGTCAATGGAAAACAAGATTTTCGGAATCACAGAATCATAAAGTACTAGAACTGGAAAAGGTTTTATCAGCTCAGGAAAGGTATGAATTAGATCTTTGAATGGTACACAATAAAATGCCTTCCAGAAACTAGAACCATAGAATACTAGAACTGAAAGGGACCTCGAGAGGTCATCAAGTCCAGTTCCCTGCCCTCATGACAGGACCAAGCACCATCTAGATCATCCCTGATTGATGTCTATCTAACCTGATCTTAAATATTTCCAATTATGGACATTCCTAAGCAATCTATTCCAGTGCTGAAACACCCTGACAGTGAGGAAGTTTTTCCTCACGTCCAATTTAAGCCTCCATTGCTGAAATGTAAACCCATTGCTGCTTCTCCTATCATCAGAGGTTAAGGAGAATAATTTTTCTCACTCTTCGTTGTGATACCCTTCTAAATACTTGAAAGCTGATATCATGTCCCCTCTCAGTCTTCTCTTTTTCAGACTGTTTACAGATTGATTCCTTAATGATTTGCTTCATTATTTTTCCTGGCACAGAAAGGCGGTTTGATTGTGGGTGTCTCTAGCAGCATGGAGAACAGGAATTAAGAGAGGTCCTAAGATTTGGCCAGGTGAGAGCAATTTCTGTGTAGTGCAGAGGATGGCACT